GTTCTTTAACAATTAGGCTTTACATGTTTATATAGAATTGAGCCCAAACATGGGTGGATGCCAAAAAACTACCTAAATTGATGATAATTGTAACTTAATTGAGTTAAAAGAAATTCTAAAATTGGGAGAAAATGACTGTTTTGCCCCAGCCCAACAATGTGTGAAATTCTAAAACAGTCCCTACAGCTGCCCTAGAACTTGACCGGTGGCCTTTTGAAGTGCTTAGAAAGATTCTGACCCATTCTGGGACAATTCTGAGACTGTCAAGAATTTCACTTTTTGTTGAGGCTTTATTGACCTGCTTCCTCTTTATTCTGCAGCAGGGACCAAGGTGATGAAAATGTCTTCGAACACCGAGCTTGACCTCTTTATCCTTTCTCCTCTCTCTCTTCTTTGCTTGCTTGACCAGAGGGTGGGCTAAGCCTTGTCCTGCTATGGCAGTCTTATCGTCGAGCAATTTAGCTACCGTGCCAGTCAAGTTACCGAGCCTGTCTTGCTGCCCGTCAGACCAGCCATTGCACCAGGCCAGCCGCCATGCCGGTCTTGTCATTGAGTGGTTTAGTCGTTATGCCGATCAAGTTACCTAGCCCATCTAGCTGCCGTGTAAGACCAGCCATCGCGTCAGACCAGCCGTTGTGCCAAACCAACTGTCGTGCCTGTTTTGTGGTTGAGCAGTTTAGCCGTCGTGCTGGTCACGTTATCGAGCCCGTCTAGCTGCCGCCGCGCTAGTCTTGCTTCTTGGTCAAACTTCTTCTCTCTCTTTCACTTCTCTTCTCTCTTTCCTTCTCTTCTCTTCTTCTTTTTTTGTATTTTCTCCCTTTTGGAAGGTTTAGCGAGAGCCAAGCTAACATTCACCCTCTCTTATCTCTTTTCTTATTCCTTTCTTTAAAACAAATACCTTTCCTTTCTTTATCCTTGAAGTGCTAGGTGAAACCCAAACCAGCCTTCGTCCCTATTTTCTTTCTCTACTCTCTCTAAGGTGCTGGGTGAAAGCCAAACCAGCCTTCGTCTCTTTCCCCTCTTTACCTCCTCTCTTCCTTTATTTTCTCTCTAAAAATTCTCTTTTTTCTAATATTCTTTCTTTATCTAACCACTCTTCTCTTTCCCTTCATTGTAAAATATGTACTAAGAGTCCCTTGTCAAGGAGACTCCATAAGGCTGTCAAATTGATACGGACTTCATTATGTTAATTCTTTCATTCTCCTTTGAGTACACACACACATGTGTGCGCTCACCCAATGACAAGGTGGGGTCCTCATACCCACTTTTCTGTACTCTAATGTGTGTGTGTGGTTGCAAGTAAGAAGAAATAGGTCAAGGGAGGCGATTCCAAACCGGCCATAGGCTAGGGGCATTCCACGTGATCTAAGAGGGTGCCCATGTACGCTAGCCCGAGCGTGTCATAGACCCACATGGGGTAAGTCCCACCTCATGATCCAAATTCCTGTCTCACCTGTTGGTATTCCTATGCGCGTCTTCCTTACATGGTTCCCGAGAGAGCGATCTCAGGTCCCGGGTCCATCTTGAACCTGGAACCACGCCACCAGGTCAACCCGATCTGAAGGGGAAAATCGAGGCATCTAACCAGGGTGACACCCTACTTGAAAGATGACCATAACTTTCAAACCATAAGGGATTTTATTATGAAACCAAAACCACTTTAAAACTATACTCATCTATCTAATATTTCGAAGTGGTTGGACCTCACTCTAGTTCATTTTGGTCAGTTAAACGCTTCACACAAAAACATGTTAAATCCCTAGAATTTCATTTCACAGATCTAGCATGCTTCATCAAATAGTTAATAACTTTCAAATTAAATGAAATATTACCAAGGGGTCTTTTCCATGTGGAAGTACATTCAATATACTATTGACAATATACCACTAACCCACCAAAATTCAAGGTCTAAGACATGGTTTAAGGTATCCTAACAATCTCTCAAATAGGAACCACACTTCTAAAAGTCATAATATACTCTAACATAAGTTTAGAAGCATGCACCCACACTCGAATTTCATATTTTAATTGGGTAATGAAACATGCATTAACATAAGCATGAAACCATGGAAGCTAAATCTACTTACTTACACCAATCGAAACTTTCAAGATGCAATGTTCAACAAGTTCCACTTCGATTACCAAGCGTCACGTGGATTGGGTTCAAGCTTCGGAGGTTAAGGGCTGAAGAGGGGGTTGAAGGGCTTGGAGGGGTTTAAAGGCTAAGGGGGAAAAATGGGCAAGTGAGGACGTGGAGAGCTGAGGAGAGAGAGAGAGAAAACCAAATTTATGAGTGGATGGGGGGTTTATATAAGTATGGAGGGTGGAAGCATATAAGTGATCATGCATGGGGAGAGAGAAGGCATGCTTGAGGAGCATAAAGATGGGGGTAGAAGCATGCATATGCTACATGGCATTCAAGTCATCATACATGAGGAGAAAGAAGGCATGCTTGAGGAACACAATGATGGGGGTGGAAGCATGCATGTACCACATGGCATTCAAGTGATCATGCATGAGGAGAGAGAAAGCCTGCATGAGAGGGGAGAAATATCCTAAGCCAACCAAACGCCACTTGCGCCCAACTACGTGCTTATCCACCTGCACTCTAACACACGCCCGTCAATCCGCGCTCAGCAGCACACTCATCCACCCACGCTCTCAACATGCGCCAGTCTACCTGTGCTCAGCAGTGTACACATCCACCCATACTCACAACGTGCACCAGTCTACCCACTCTCAGCAGCACATACATCCATGCGCGCTCCATGCACACTCATCTACCTGCGCTCCACACATACTCGTCTACATCCATTTCTCCGAAAAATTCCCAGATCTTACATGTTTATACTTAGTTTCAGTATCTTCTCCACTGGGATATTCATAGGCTTGTGTTCACTCATCTTGAATCCTTTTAATATTTTCTTATAATAAGTGGTCTAGGCTGACTATCCCTCATCATCTTTATTCCCAACACATATGAGGCCCCTAAGGTCCTTCATTTCAACACCATTCAATAAACAAGGTTCTGTATCACTTCATTTATTGAGTTACAAGCTATTAGAATTTAGTCCACTTACAATGACATGATGTAACTCTCGATATTCTCCACATACAAGAATCCTCTTCATTTGATTTGAGTCCATGTATAGTCAAGGTTTTGTGGAATTTGATGAACCAATATTGTGATGCTTATTTTAGGTCATAAAGGAACGTAATTAGTTTACACTCTAAGTTTTCCTTTCCATTAACCTCAAAACCTTTAGGTTGTTTCATACAAATTAATTCGTCACTTAGTAATGTCGTTTTGATGGAGTTCAAAATCAAAACGGGCTGCTATGGATATTAGCATTCTTATTTATTTATGGAAACTTAGCTACAAGTGAATAAATTTCATTGTAATCTATCCCTTCCTTTTGGGTTAACCTTTTGGCTTCAAGTATTGCCTTGTATTCTCTAGTTTCCCTTCAGAGTTTAACTCTTTTTTTAACACCCATTTGCATCCTATAGCTTTCCATTTGAGTGGAAAGTTTACTAGTTCCCGTACATAATTTTCGTGTATAGAGTTTAACGTACCATTCATAGCTTCCATCAAATGTTTACTTTCTAGACAGATACGGCTCCTAAGAAAGTAATGGGTTCACTATCATTTTGATCACTTATCCTTTCATAGTGTTCATCTAGATAAGTAAAGAACTCAGCCGATCTTCTAGCTCAATTACTTCTCCTAGGTGGTTGGACTATGGAGGTAGGTTGTTGGTTTTTAACTTCTTCTAACTCATAAAGGCCAGCTTGCCCCCCAATTTTCCTTCCTTCTAGAATTGCATCTTTAAAGAAGTGTGAATCATAACTTTCAATAACAAGATCTTTAGTTGGGCCATCAAAGAAGTAGCCTTGTCCACGATGTGCATACCCTATCAATACACGATTTATGTTTTCATGATACAATTTTGTCCTATCTTAGTGAGGTACTAGGATATGAGCTGAACATCCAATACTCTAGGTGTTCGAGAGAAGTTATGCAACTAATGAAGACTTGGTGAAGAATAGATGAGACTGCCTTTGTGGGAATCTGATTAAGGTTGTATCCTATCGTCAACACTTCTTCACCCCAAAGACATAAGCTAAGCTCTTCTTACAATTCTACTAATCTCCTATTCCTTAACTTAAGCTAATCTATTCTTACTATTTCTACTAATCTTCTATTCCTTAACTTAAGCTAAGCTCTTCTTATTATTTCTACTAATTTCCTATTGCTTCTTTTGGCTAGCTCTTCTTACCATTTCTACTAATCTCCTATTCCTTCTTTTGGCTACTCCATTTTGTTTAGGTGAATAGGACATGATAAGTTATCAGATTACATATTATTCACCACAATTATGAGACTTACGTACTTTTATTTTACACCCATTTAAATATCTACCTCATCTCTGTTATTCTTGGCTTTGATATTCTTTGAATTTATCCAATACTTCAGTTATGGAGGAGGTAAACATGGCCATACCTTGATGGTCATCAATAAAAGTCATAAAGTACTTCCTGTTCCCTTTGGTTTCCATACTCATAAGTCCGCATAAATCCGAGTGAACTCCACATAAATCCGAGTAAACTATGGTTCCACACTCATACGTCCACATAAATCCGAGCGAAGTAGTTCTAATAAACTATGGTCTCTTTGGTTGGATGTTTAGAAAGAGTGAGGGTGCTGTAGAAAATGAGAGGTTTAATTTATTTAACCAAACAAAAAGAGAGGTTCAATTCATCCGAATTAATTGGATGGTTAATAAGTCGCTATCAGATACACATCATCTTTATCTATGGGTGGAGGCATTTGAAATGTTTGCCCTTATTTTATTATGTGTGAAAAATAATAACAAAAAGACCCATAAAGGCTCTATAAAAAGAATGACAAAAAAAAAAAAAAAGGTTATGTCCATCTCGCCTACTATTAATAAGATGGCAAAAAAACCCATAAATTGAGTAGAGAAACTTTGCTTGTATCTAAGAAAAGAGATGTTGGCTGGATATATACAACTTTGTGACACCAAAGCCAAAAGATACATCTTCCACCAAAAAGCAAAAAAGCACATATATATATAAACATATGAGAAACTTCCTATCGTGGACCCATTCTTTTAATGTAAATGGGTATATGTAGCCAAGTTGTGACTTGCGGGATCACTTTTCTCTGTTGAAGAGGCAAGGAGGAAGGTGAGTTCGGGCAATAGTCTCGTACCCACATTTCAGATCAATTAAGATATATAGTAATTATTCCAAAATGCTATTCAGGCCTTTGGGAAATTAGGGCTTTATATGGTCATGACGAGCTTTTCGTTCGCTTTCCGACTGCGAATTACCAGCGTTGATCCTCTCTTCTAACCACTCCACAATGTCACAGAAAACAAGGTCTATGTTTTCCTGGGTTTCTCCACTGGTGAGCGCGTGACACATGCCTGGATACAAGTTCAATGATTTATCTGTGCTTGATGCTTTCTCCACCAACAACTTGCTAATGTCAGGGTCTGTGACTGCATCGTCCTCCCCGTGGACGATCAAGAAAGGCAGCGACACCTGAATGAACACGTAACGTAGCGTTTTAGTATTTTTCTTTTGAAAAATAGCAGTTAGTATTTCAAAATTATATACTCTTAACACAGCGTTTCCAAAGTTTTTAATATAAAGAGAAACATGTGGGTTTCTAGTCCCACATTATAGAATAGAGTAAATAAAAAGAAGTATTTATATAAAAAAACTCTCTAACCTAAAGTTTATTGGGAAAGTGCAGTTGTATGTATGGAACACGCTTCTTGTGCCTCACAAGCACTTGAGTTGCACTTAGTACTTCACACACTCGCAAAGGTGTTTGTGCATTGTATGAATCAAGCTCGCTATCTTTTATTTTTTTTATTTTCTATCGTTGTTCATTATTTTATAAAGGTTTTAAACCTTAAAAACCTTTTATTCATTATTTTTTTATGTTTTAATTTTGGATTTTTTCATATCACCTACCTAACTAATAGCAATTAACGATTTAAATCGAAATCAGCGGGCACAAATACACTCATCGATTCCATGGTATTAAAACACTGGTTTTAATGAATAAATGTAGGACAGTATTAAGGGTTCCAATCGCACCATCTTACCGACCCCAAAAAGTTACCATCAGAAAATATTGCAAAATATATGTGAGACATGTGGCTTTGTCAAATCCAGAACTGAATGATTGAGGACGGTGGAAGGCATAAGAAAAGGGCGTTGCCATTTTGGGTTTATTGAGTCACTCACCTGGTGAAGATTATTCTCAATGTCCATGCTGGCCATCATCAATTCGTACCCAGTCTTCAAACGTGGCCTTCCTTTGTAGCAGTACGGATTTGAACGGACCTATAACAAAAGCCCATGTACATTCCCATAAATGTAAACTCCCAAGTCCAAATTCAAAGCGGCTTTCTTTATAAGATTTTAAACTAGGGAAAGTTACCTCCAGTCAACTTTTTTGTCTCATTTTTTAGCACAAAGTAGTCATTCCTACCAAATAGCCCCCTCAAGTAAATAAAAAAAAAAAAGCTAAACTAATATCTCTGTTTTTTCTAACGCCTCTCTCTCCTACTCCCACGAAAAGGCAATCTAACATATTCTTAGGTGGTCCGTCAGTGTAATGTTGGTCTAGTAAATAACAATGGTAATTTGACAGTACAAGTGGCAGTCCGATACTAACAAAGAACAGTTATGCAATAGGCCCATGCCGTCTAGCACTGCCAAAGAGCAGTCCAACAATAAGCTCATACGGTCCAGCAACAAGCCCAAAGTCTGGTCCGATAATGTCAAAGAGCATCCGGCACTTTTTTAGTTTAAAAGGATTCGGCAATGTCAAATAGAGGTTTGGCAACCCATGTACGCCCACATGAATGCCCGGCCAAAATTAAATTTTTGTGTACGAAAAAATGTATTTTTGTAAAAAAAAATATACTTTTTTACATGAGGTATTTGCTAGAAAAGTGTATTTTAGGAGGGAAAAGTGAAAAAAAAATTTGGTTGGAGATAACTTGCATAGAAAGTCTACTTGTACGGGTTATTTGTAATTTTTTCTTTAAACTATGTGTAAGGGATTGTATACTATACGACCGTTCATTTTTTTTACAAGGAGGTTACAACATTTTAGTCATGGGATGTAAAATTCGACAAATTGAAGTATGGCGTATTTTATTTTAGACATTGTGCCAAAACAATAGTGACATCCTTATATCAAACGGAAGTGATCTTATTGTATGCATTTCCTATTTTTAATATGAAGTTCATAAATTACTTTTAGTTATCAAAGGTGAAATTGATTTAACAGATTGTCAACCAATGCCTCAACTGATTTTGTTCAAGAACTGGTCAAAATCAATTTTTAATTAGTTTTGGTTAATTAGACTAGCTGATTTTAATCGGTTCAATTGGCTAAATGAACTAGAGCAAATTTTTTTTAATATATTTTATATTTTAAACTAATGGTTCAAAATTTTTTGACCAGATTGAATACGTCACAAGTTCATTAGCCAATCCGATCTTGAGAACCGGTAATCGTGACCTTATTGTACAAAACATAAAGGATCTCATTTAATACTGTCCATGTCAATAGCTGTACTATTAATTTTTTACCGGTAAACATGACTAGATTAGTCAGAAAAAGAGGAATAGGGTTTGAATTAAAAGTAAAAACTTAGATTACAGAAAGAGGATTTTAATCATACCTCTTCTCTCCTTTCTTGGGTTTTTATGGCACTATCAATGATATCTTTTGTTGGGATAATCTTCCACGTTGGAATGACCCGGCAGAGCTTAGTCAAAATGCTTATAACAAAAGGGTGTGGCTTCAGCTCATCAGCAATCTGAAATCCCAATGACTAGATTTAGGTTATAATAATCAACTTTTGAAAAGTGAAAGGATAATTCTTAAAATTGGGTGACAACTAGTCATTCAAATTTAGCAGTAATTAATTGTAGGTTAAATTAAATCTGGTGGTAATGGTCTTTAATAAAATAATTATAAAGGAGAAAGGTCGTGACCTTGCACATGGGGGCCACCAAAAGGGCACCATCCCAGAAGCTAGGCATCTTTCTGTGTAGCATCACCACAAGTGCGCCTCCCATTGACTCTCCAAATAGATACCTCAGCTTGCCCCTATTTTCTCTCCTATCTGCCAATGAAAAAAAAAATTTCATTTATTTTGGTATGTCCATTTGAAAAGTATAGACAGAGATCATTTATTTTAAGAGTGCTTTACATAAGGACCCTAAAATTTTGTCTAAAATACGAAATGATCTGTGTATAGATGGAAATTACAAAGGTAGGTCAACCTACTTTTTTTTTTTTTTTTAAATTGCCATGTCCTTGGACCGAATTTTAATTATTATTTTTTAGCTTTTTTGTTACTAAGTTTCTTTTTTCTTTTTTTTTGTTACAAAAAACTTAAATAATAATAATAAAAATAAAAATCCGGACTGCCAATTCTAACCTTAAGCCAATGAGCAATTTTGGAAGAAACAAAAAACTTTTTTTAAAAAATTAAGATTCGAACCAAGGATTCTATCCTTAGACCGATGAGCAAATTTTGGAAGAAATTAAAAAAAATGTGGGTTGACTCCTTTGTAATTAGAGCATTTCATGTTTTAGAAAATATTTAGAGTTTGTACATAAATCACTCTTATTTTAAATACAATAAGGTCATAATCACTTTGTACATTAGATTTCAAATCAGGTGGTTGTGTGTGTCATTGATTAGAATAAAAAAAAAATTGTACATTAGATTTCAAATCGAGTGGTTGTGAGTGTGTCATTGACTAGAATCAAACAAAAATTTAAAAAAATTGAACTTTCTGACACACCGAGGTTTTCAAATTTGACATCTAATCCTCAGAAGCAATCACAGCCTCATTGAAATAAAGATAAGTGGCCTCATAGCATATCAAGAGTTTAAACTCCCAGAATTCCCTCAAGTGCTTCTCGCTTTCCAGCAAAACAAACATGCTTTGAAAAGTGAATCCCTGTTGATTTGCTTACGATACTACTTGATCATTTAGGTTTTGGGCACTAACCACATATGCTTGTGAAATACTCAGAGCAATCGTTGACAAGGTCATTGAAGCTTTGAAAGTAGCCTTGGAGGCCAGACGACTTGCCGTGGCCCTCATAATCAATGCCGTACACCGCGTACCCAGCATTTGCCAGTCTCATCCCGGTGCCTGAACGGAACAAAAGCAAAACTTTCAAAAAAAGAAAGAACATTGATCGGCTTCTTTGTAATTTTTTACTGTAAAAAGAGCTTTTCATATTTTTTCTATTTTTTCAACATGTGAGTAAATGATATATATATGCACAAGAGTTACCTTACCTTTCATGGATATGCTGCACTCCATCGCGTAACCTGCAAATATTAACCACCATGGAAAAAATTCATAAAGGAAAAAGAAAGAAAGCAGGGAATTAACATACTGAATGAGTGGGAAATAAAAAGAGATAGAACAAAAAGAACCTTACTGTAATAAAAAAACAAATAAGTATAACAAAATCGTAGCAATTAATGGTAGTACCATGGCAGAGAAATATGAGTGCCTTTGGGTCTTGATTGCGCGGAGGCAGCCATCTGCAAGTAAAGAGCTTCAACTCTCGAGAATTCAGTATAAATTCCTGACAAACAAAACCCGAAAAAATCAGGCCCTCAGAATCATTCAGTTCAAGATTCGAAAAAATTAAGAAAAATATACACGAAGATCATGAACAAACCATTTGTGAAGAGACAGATAAAAAGACTTTTGTTAGGAGCTTACCTCTTCATATTTGATCTTCTCGAGTTCTGGTGCCTGTATAAGAGAACCCAAAAACATTACAATCTTCAGAATGGGTTTCAGTGCAAAAACTTAAAATGAAAGCAACTAAGAGACTGCATATGAAATACCAAAAGAAAAAAAAAATTAGAAATGGATTTCAAGGTACAGGCTTACCATTGAATAAAACTCCATTGCAAGAAAGTAGAGAGAAGGAATGGGAAATTGAGAGAGAGAAGGAATGGGAAATTGAGAGAGAATGAAACGGAAGGCGGAGCAAGGATTAGGTCAGTAGCGTGCCTTACATGGAAAGCAGGGCTGGCAAAGGGCTAAATATAGGCAGGAGAAACATCTGGGGTCATATCAAGATATAATTATCAAAAATATTTTTTTGGGTAAATAGATACGGAAAAAGTTTGTATAAGGTTGCAACCTTATAATGTACAATTAAATATGCATCTAAAAAATCAATTGAAAAAGACTGTTTTAATATTGAAAAATCCTGTAATTGATCATCTCGATATCTACAGAATATGAAAAAAAAAAAAGATTTGAATTCTAAAAATAGTGCATCTTGCAACACATTATCTAGCTCGTTCATTTTCAATATTTTTATATGTTTATAGATCTATTTGATTTTAACTATTTTTGGAGTTTAAAATTTTATAATTAGATGTGAAAATAGAATTTGAGATAATCTTAAAAAAATTTTACACCAAAATTATATGTCATGATAAAATTTGGAAATGGACCTTGACTGGATTGTTTGAGGTTGCAGCCTTATAGAAACCTATCCAAATAGGAAGCCGTTGACTCATTCTTTTACTAACTGATTTTGGTATTCAAAATGTGCGCTTTAACATGTCGACCACCGGAAAAGTAAGAACAGTTGAGTCCGAAACTCCAAATTTAGCGCTGGCAATGGATTGGGAGGCCTGGTCGGCTTGGCTCTAAAAAATTAGCGCTCGGGCCATGAATTGTGGCACGACGGCCAGGTTGGCCACTGCCAGCGAAGTTCGGCCTGGCCCTCTTATTTTTCTTGTTTTTTTATAGTTTTCCATCAATTGTGCTCAGCCATACCTTACTGGGACGAGGGCTGGGCCATAGCCACGGCCAAGGCTGCCCCTGCTCGAGCCAGCCTTTTGCTACCCTTAAATCCAATTTTCCTCAATAACAACATTTTACCATCGTTTCATCAAATAAGTTTGGAAAATTGTTTCATACCGGTTGGACTGCATTTCCACATATGCAGTCCAAAAAGTTTAAAGTATGTAGGCGTCCCATCTAAAAATAATGTAAACTAACTATCCAAATGTTATTATTTTTAGTTTTAAAATTTATTTCTTTTTTCATATTCATGATCTCCACGATATTACATGTTCTTAAAAGTAAAGTCTTAAAATCCATCTCAAAAATAGTTTTATTAAGGGGCCTGCATTTTTACATATCCGGGCTTGGCCGAATAGAAAGTGGGTCCACTAAGTTTTAATAAGTTCCCATTCGTAACGGAATGGGTCAAGGTTGTCCATAATTGGGAGAAATATTTGAATATGAAGAGAGCCGTCCACGTCGTCGGTTAGTTTACATTGCAACAAATAAAGAAATAAGGGGGTCAGGGTAGTATTAAATTGTGGTACCAAGACAACAAAAAGAGTTCGTATAAAAATAAACAATAGGGGATAGAATTTCTCGGTTTTCAGGTTACCATTTTTCATTTCTTTCCTGATTTTGAAGCCTCTTTGAAGACGTGATATAAGGAAAATAATAAATAGAAAATAAAAATAAAATAATTTTGAAAAATTATACCCTCACTCTAGTCTGGAACGAAATTCACCCCAAAAAATAACCAACTTGGCTTCTCCTTATCCTCGTGCCTAAATCTCTATTTCTTAAATGTGTACTTATCCTATTTCTCTAATTATATCTTCCTAAAATCTCTACCAAATAATGCATGCTTATATTTAGTAAATAATGCATTTAGTAAATAACCAATTTACTAACCAAAAACAAAAACGTTAACCTAAAATTCTAAATTAAATAACCTTTATATGCGTCAAATGTCTACAACAAAAAGACAAAAATAATCCTAAAGAAAATAAAAACCCAACCTAAATCTAAAAATCTCATCAATAGTAAAATTAAAAAAATAAATTTTTTTTTTAAAAACCCCCTTTGCATCAAGACGGCTTTCATATTTCCAAAGTTTCAAAGAGAAACTATGATTCCAATTCTCAAACACGACCTTAAATTGTTGAACTTTATTCCCTTTTATCTTTTCATAGCTGAATGGGTAAACAGTTTCCTTGATTCTATTTGATTCAGTTTGTAGAAACACGGGTCAAGGGAAATGATTTCTCCAAAAAAATGTCTTGTATCTTTTGTCTCTTATTTGGCGGACAAATGCTTTCTTAAAAAGAATATATACATATTTGGAAGAGAGTAATTTCTTTTCTTTTTTGGAGGAGCAAAAAAGTAATCTACTCCGGCCAGAATGGAATGTCCATTTACTGCTCTAAACTATCTAAGTTTTAGAGTGCAAGATCTAAGCGGTGTAAAACTCAAAATCTAAATTCGTTTTTTAAGAATAATCATCTAGTAATTCTTAAATAGTTCTAAAAATTTTCAGATTGAAAGAATCCTCTCAAGAAGAATCTATGACCAACTAAGCCTTAGAAATCTCAAATTTTAAATTTGTTTTTTAAAAATAATCATCTAATAACTCTTAAATATTTTTATTTTTTTTGAAACAGTTAACGGTTCTTGAATAGTTCTCAAAATTTTCGGATTGAAAGAATCCTCTCAAGAAGGACTTCGGACCAAAGAAGTAGAGAAGGAGCATAGTATAGGTGCTCTTTGGAAGATGCCACTTGATTGGATTAGTTGGTTCTGTTATTTAATTGCAAACAAAAATTTCAACTTTGACGAAATTTTTAATTTATTTTGGTTGTGTTTTTTAGTCGTTTATTGAAGGTGGTGGGGGCGTTTTGATTTGTTTGAATTGAAAGTTAGCCGTAAGCAAGTGGCCAAAAGGGCCAAGTGGACGCCTAAAAAGTGGCCCAAAAAGATGGCTTACCCCTTTTCCTTTTCTTTCGCTTGTTTCTTTTATTTTATTATAGTCAAACGATATCATATTTGACCATGATTTGCACCTTCGGCCAAGATTCTATATTTTTAAATTAATAAGACCCTAAATTTTGGAGAGGTAACTTCTTCTAAGTAAATGGGCGAAGATTCTATGTTTTTGATATATTTTTAAATTAGTAGAACCCTAAATTTTGGAGAAGTAACTTCTTCTAAGTATTAAATTTTTTGAATTGAACTATTAGAAAAAGATTAATGCCTCAATATTAAACAAAGCAAAATTTGAAGTACAAGATCTAAGTCAAAACTTCGAAATTCAAAAAAATTTATCTAAAAATAGTCATCTAGTGATTGTTAGGTGGTTGTCAAAATTTGAGACAAAAAAAAAAATTCTTCCAAGTAGGTCTTTTGACTAAAGGAGCAAACACAAAAAATGTTACCGCGGGAGCATATTATACGTGCTCATTAATGACTCTGCTATCTCCGGGTATGCCATAATCACTATCAAGCAATCACTCCGTATTCCGATTGAGAAATTACGAACATGGAAAAGATCACTAAGTTTAAGAAATAAATGAAAGGAAAAGAAAACAATAAATAATTAAATAATATATTGAGCTTTTCTTGGGTCAAATTTAAAGTTAGAACGAAAAAAGTTATGAAAATAAATCATGAAAACAAGCTGAGCCCAATGTGCCCAAATCACAAGTTATTGTTTGGGGGCAGGCATAAAGTGTGCTCGAGGAACTTTGCATGTCTCCTTGGTAAGAGGCAAAAAGGGTACTTGGGGAGGCCTTCTTGGCGTCAATTGTAGAAGAACGACCTTAAAGGTAGCCTTTTCCTCCTTCTTCTTCTTTTTTTTTTTTGTTTTTAAATTTTTTATTTTTTTTATGGAAAAGTTTATATAGAGTCGAAGCTCTAAACAATCAAATTTGAGCCTACATCAAAAAATTCATTAGAAAAGGTTATTTTGATGTTCAAATATCTTCAAATTGATCATCTCGACATCAAGATGCATGGACATGAGAAAAAAATAGATTGTAAATTTAAGATATAGTGTATTTTGTAACGTGTTTTTGGACTGTCAATTTTCAAGTTTTCAAAAATATGTCGATTTACACTATTTTTGAAGCTTTAAAATTTATAAATAAATATAAAAATATATTTAAAACTATCACAAATATTTTCAATATGAAAACCACATTTTTCGACACTATTAGTACTAAATTTCATTAATTGGCTAGAAAATGACGTTTATTTTTGTTGTTCTCAAACACTTTTAATCTTGATGTTCATCATCATTAATCATATGCCTCTTTTTATACTTTACTTGCTGCAAGTGAAGTATTTATTTTTTTAAGTTGAGTAATGCAATCTCTTTATTGTTTCATTTTGTTTGTGTCCAGTACCATATTTATTTTTTATTTTATTTTTTCCCTAGTTGCTAACTCAACGGTAGAGTAAATAGCTTTTAAGTGCGGTTGGATGAGGAACCGGTCTCTTGTTTAACCAGATAAACAACAACCGGGCACTTTTGTTTTAAATAGACAATGAGAAATTAAAATTAGTGTTATCGGATTCAAACTAGCAACTCTAATCGTTGAGGGTTTTAATCATGTTGGAACTAGTTTGATCGCTATCACTTGAAATTTGGAAGTGTCTATTATTTAAAAAATAAGAGAATCTAATAGAAATATCAAAAAAATAATTCAAAAATAACCAAAATACCATATACTTTTCAGTGATATTTTGATCAATTTATTTTTATAAACTATTTTATTAAGTGCACCTTGATGTGGAGAATGAAGACATCAAATTTCATATAATTTGGAATTGTTTAAAATTATAATGAGATTGTGACCATCAGATCAACGTATATACATTTGGGTTGTTAGGCTTACACTATCCTATCAGCCCATGAGCTAAAATGATCTTTTGCTTTTAAGTTTTGAAGAGAAATTGTATTAAAAAATTTTAGAGAGACAATTTCAAATTTGAAGGTTTGGAGAGAAAATATTTTAAAATTTCCAAGAGATAAACCATATCAAATTTTAGATAAATTATTTCAAAATTTTTAGAGAGAGAATATCTCAATCTTTTTAGTTTTAAAGAGAAAAAGTATATTTAGATTTTAGAGAAAAATTGTACCAAATTTTTTTACCAAACAATGGACATAGAAATGATTGTAAGGGATTCATGAATTTTGTAT